ACAAATTAGTTATATATGGGGATGGTAGTTTTTCATCTTCAGTTGTCTCTGATGCAGCTTATACGAAATAATTGTTGTTCTGTTAACTGAATACCACTCTGTAATTGCAAAAAAAAAGTTGCGGCTGTTTTGTTGACATTCTGAATGCTTCTAAGTAAATACAATTTTTTTATTAAAAAAAAAGAAATCAGCAACTGTGTTCAGCACTAAGTCAGAAAATGAATCATGCACGCTTTTATCTTAATACCAGATTATTTTTCATACATAGCTCAAAACATATTGATTGGACTCCAGCTTTCTCCAAATGCTCAAAACTATTCACTTTAATGGAAGTAGTATTATATTCATGAAAAATGTTATGATCTACGCCCATGATTTTTAACCTGTGTGCTGCAAGAATTTTTAAAGCATGCAATACCTGACCATTTAGTCAAGGGAACTGAGTTCTTTTCCTTAGATTGTCAAATAAAAAAATGACAACAGCCAACGCAATAGCTGTCCAGTGTGAATGAATCAAAATTATACCTATTTTTCTGTCAAATCAGCAAAAAATATACTTTTTTGGTGTGCCACATAATTTTAGTAATTACTTTATGTGTGCCATGAGATGAAAAGGGTTGAAAATCGCTGAGCTACGTAATTACGTTGTATTACAACTGAATAATTGCCGGTATGCTGTATTAGTGTCTCTAATCTGAACACAGCTCCACGCCCGAGAGGACAGATTACCATGCTGACCTAATACACACCAGTAATCCCTACGAGAGCAACTCCTCTCCTGGTTATACCATGAGAAAGTCAAAACAAACCCAACCTTGCAATGAACATTCCAGAACTCAAAACATATTTTTAAGAGAAGTTTAACAGTAATCATTCCATTTTCAAGACAAGATATAAAGTTAAGAAAAGATAGCCTACTCTGATATTCATGTATTTGTTCAAAGGCATTAAATAAGCGTTAAGTCTAAGGGATTAGTGGGAAAACCCAGTAAATTAGTGGGAGTTGGAGCAGGTTCCAAAGAAACATAAGACATGCACTCTTTGCCCTTGAGACGTTCACAGTCTAGTTAAGGAGAAAACAATTACCCAGCATTTTGAACCTCACTTAAAGACTGTGGAGAAATCAAACTTTTGTTAATCTATTATTTTAAATGCCATCCATTTAACTGCCAAAGTTGGATTATTGCCTCTTCCAAGCCTGAAAGGAAATATAATTTAAAACAAAAAATTTGTACAGCTAAAAGTTCTTCTGAAAAATGTGTCTTTGTAAAAAGCCTAAATGTGCCACTTCTGGGACTCCAATGTTTATCCACCAGGCTTACTAAAAAGGGATCCACGTGGATATGCAAATGCAAGAGTGCTATGAGCTATGCGCCTGTGTCCTCACAGCTATACAGCAGTGCTGAGCAGCTGGAAGGTGCTCAGACACTTGGAGACTGACGGAGAAGTTGAAAGCAGGAAAGGGAGAGGAGGATGGGGAGACAGATCCAGATGCGCCTGTAGCAGCTGCCAGGGAGCTGAGTCCAGGCCAGAGAAAGCCGGAGGGCTCCTCCCTGGTGGCAGAAACTAAGGAGGCGAGGAGCATTGTGGAGACCTCAGAAGGCAGAGGGGGGCATGGGATATGGAGAGTTCGCTTCTGGAAGAGGCTCGTTCATCTTGCAGTGTGGTCAATCGGATGGCTTTTTGTTGTCGTTGTTGTTGTTGTTGTTGTTGCTAATCCTCACCCGAGGATATCCATTGATTTTTAGAGAGAGTAGAAGGGAGGGGGAGAGACAGAGAGAGAGAAACATCAATGTGAGAGAGACACATGGATTGGTTGTCTTTCACACGCATCCTGATCAGGGCCAGGGATTGAGCTGCAGGCTCATGCCCTTGACCAGAATTGAACCCGGGACCCTTCAGTCCACAGGCCAATGCTCTATCCACTGAGCCAAACTGGCTAGGACAGTCAGATGGCTTTTAAGCCTGAATAATATACAAGTCAATAATTCAAGCCATTATGTGAAGACCAAGAAGCAAAAATAATATCCGAAGCTATATGAACGTTTGTTACAGATGAGAACTATGTCCTATGTGATCCACACAGGTCTCCTCATGCTTTCCACACAACCTGTCCCCAGAGAAGCTACTGGAGAGGACAATAGAGGAACACCTAAGCTGGGTCCTGCACTCAAGGCATTCGAAACACATTAACACTCAGTTCCGAGGGCTGCCTCGGCTATCGCTGCCACAATAGTTGTGCAGGGCGTGCATCCAGGACCAGGAAGGGACCAGCTCTATTGTCAGAGAAGGTCCACTCCAAGACACACGCTGACTTGGGTAGGGTGGATGCTGAAAGCCACGCAGAGGAATTTCTGAACTTAGCTTCCTCCATCACCGGTCAGCCTCCTATTTTTCTACTCACCGCCTCTTTCACTTTACTACTTCTCTTTAGCAGAAAACGCTCCACATGATGACCACACCATCTCTGATAAAGATTCAAATCTAACATATAATGTCTTCCCACATGTGCTACAATGTTCCCTCAGATACACTCAGCAGAAGACAGTCGGGGCAATGTCATCAGGTAGAAAAAGGAGGTTTAGAAACAATCAGGACTTTAAAGATAGAGTAAGCTAAGGGAATACCTGTCAAATTGGTGGGGGTTGGTGAGGGAGATGTACTTAGGACTCCACAAAGACCTCTCTTCCAGGGATCTGAATAGAAAAGCCAAATATGTAGCTCAAGGGGGACCAGTGATGGATGCACAGTTTTAAGCTAAGAACTGTGACATGAAAGGTTGGCACTTCATTAAGTCACCTCGAGATGAAAAGAGGCCTGGAGGAAAAGGGGGCTGAATTCCTGAAATAGTTTTGTTTAGTGCTTATAGTCTGCAAAGCTAACAATGTAACCTGAACTATATTTGTTGTTGTTTTTGAAATGTTTTTATTGATTTTATAGAGAGAGGAAGAAAGGAATAGAGAGATAGAAACATTAATGAGATAGAAACATCAATCAGCTGCATCCCACAACTGGAGCATGTGCCCTAACTGCGAATCGAACCAAAGACCTCTTAGTTCATGGGTCGATCTTAACCACTGAGCAACACTGGCCAGGTTGTATTTGTTTTTTTGTTTGGTTGTTTGGTTGGTTGTTGTTAATCTTCACCCAAGGAGGGGAGAGATGGGGGGGCGGGGGAGAGAAACATCAATGTGAGAGAGACACTGATAATCAAACCCGCAACCCTTGGGTACTCTGGCTGACATTCTAACCACTTAGCAACACCGGCCGGGGCATAATCTGAATTGTAATACACCGAAACTGTATACATTTGATCCTAAACTGGCCTCACCCTCTAGTAACATTCATTTTTAAGCATGAAACAGTCTCTGTGTGTGTTGGGCTGCAGAGAACAAGATAGGAAGGGGAAGCACTAGGGAAGATGCCAGAGAAAATAGAACCCAAGGCAAAGTCCTTGATCAGGGAAATAGCCATACTTTTTAATTGAATTGAAGCCACAAAGAATGAATTTGGTATCTGTCAAGAACATGCCTGCATATGTACTAAACTCTGCTTAATCGCTCTGTGTGAAACGTTATGTGCGGGCCATATGGAAATGCATGTAAGCATTGCTCATGCACCTCGAACATGCTGAGAAATGCTGACAACACGTTCCAACACAAATCTCTGTGTCTAATTATATTCCTAACTGATACATGAAACTATACCATGTAAAGGCATGCTCCTATGAGTAGAAAAATCAACAATATAATAAAAAGGGGACAAACCAGTAAAGGCCTATCACTTAAAACAATATTTAAAAGTACAATTATGCAACTATAAGCCTATTGAAATGCATGATTGACTTAAAAAGAAACTCACAGTATCTAAAGCTGATAAAGAAATTACTTAATAAATAAAAGAATACCCAAGCTCTACGGGATTATCCCCAAAATAAAAGATCAGCTGGACTGGTTGATATAACTATGCAAAGACAAAAGATTCAGAGTTGCATCTGCCTGGAAGAGAAATCCATTTCATATAAACTTGTGTTGCCATCAGTTCTATCTGGTATGCTTTTTAGGATAAAAATTGATCACAACTTTAGATATAGGACAGATAAAGCATTAGAGCTGCACTGTTCACACAATAGCCACCAGCCAAGTGGCTATTGAACACTTTAAATGTGGCTTGTCCAAATTGAGATGGGCTATAAAAATGCACACTGGATTTCAATGACAGGATCAAAAGGGAAGAATATAAAATATCTCATGAATGTTTTATATGGACTATATGTTGAATAATTATATCTTGGATATATCAGGTTAAGTAAAATCCATTAAAATTGACGTCACTTATTTCTGTTTTTATCTCTTGATACAGCTACTAGAAAGTTTAAAGTCACAGGGATTGCCTTTGTGGCTTGCGTTATATTTCTATCAGAAAACACTGCTTTAGGGTGCATAAGAAATACTGGAACTGTCAGCCCTCTGTGGAGTCTAGTTCCACTCTGTATTTCAGACAGAGATTAGCAGGAACTACATAAAGTAACCAGAGTATAATTCTTTAGTTTCTTCCTTCTCTTCCCATTACCAAGTGCCTGATTCTCTATATGTCTCCTTTGCAGTTACCAAGGAAGAGAATCAGTTTGGCCTAGATAATCATAAGTGGCCCTCTCAAGTCAGCTTTTGTATTGGGTACATCACAGGTCCCCAGCCTATGGACTGGCTGTCCTTGAGTCAGGTGTCCATCCCTAGACCAATCCTTGTGATTGGCTGGGGGGTGAGGGGGTGAAGGAGGCGTGGGTCAGGTTAAACAGAGTACAGGAATGATCTGGAACCTCCTCTGAGCAGGGGCTATAAATGACCAGCTTTGCTTGGAGGGGACTGTGGGAATGCCCGGTGGCACAGACTGGGCTGGCCAGCAGGGAGTTAATTCAAAAATTGAGAGAGCATGATGCATGCACATTCAAAGGTCCTGTGAGTGCGAGAGCCGAGGACTATTTCCTGAACGATGCTCCGGATACAATTTCAGCCAAGCCATTCTACAAATAACAATAATAACAGATCTAGTCGCAAAAACATTTCAGTCACATCTAGCAACTAGCTGGCCAGCTTAAACAAGAACTTTAGGCAGGGAGAGGGAGAATGCAGAGACAGAGGAAGCAATATATGGAACACAACCAACCAATCAAAGTCCCAGTCCCAACCATTCCATCACATCACCATGTGACTTTGGGCAAGACACTTTAACCCCTCCTGCCTCAGTCTTCACTGGTACAAAATGACAGGGAGATGAGGATTGGATGCAATGATAGATGGAAAGGTGCTTTTTAAAGTTCGAAGAGCTGCACAAATGTTATATTTCAAGCATGAGCTGTCATTAACTCTACGTTGACTATTGAAGGAGCAACCGCACAATAAATCTGACCTCAGTGAATACACCCTCTCCGGGGACCATCTGGTGGTACTTTTCTCAGCCTTGTTAAAACGTGGCAAGTGTTAGCTCTCGGCTCTCGTACTCTGTTAGCACTTACCTCTCGCTGTGGTTTCATCTGTAATGTGCCTTCAGGAATTCACGCCAGTACATCAAACCCGCTGTCAGGCCAGCAGCCCGCCATGAGCCACACCGTATGCATCTGAGAGAAATACAATCAATCAGACCTGTGGCGAATGACAACTGTCAACTGAATCTGATGGTGGCTTTCTCCAATAGCTGTCAGAATATCCAAGACTTACACCCTATCCTAATGCCCTACCACAGCAATTGTTTAGAGAATTCAAATGGTGAGCAAAGCTGTAAAAGAAAATCCAGCTATCATGTTTTGGGCCCAGATTTATTTCCATGCAATATCTTGGGAAAACAAAATATAATTGTCCTTATATGATGCCTGATTTCATTCCCATGAGATAAATTACCTTTTCTTTTTTCCTTCCCCAAAAAAGTACTCAGTTTTACAGAGAACCAATCCAGAAATACTGAGGATGTTTTCATTTTTGTTGTTGTTCCTTTATGGAGGGTCTGGCACTTCTATTATACCAACAACAGGAGAAAAGGGTTTACCAAATATTTGCATCATTAAATAGAAACACAGGAATTGGCTTGTGAAAAAGGAGCTCTGTGTCTTTAAGGCTCCACGGGGCTCTGGGCTGGGAGGCAGACAGACCAGCGCTGCTGCAGCAGCGACTCATCCTATCGATAAGGTTCAGTTAGCCAAGGTGGAGGATGGGAAAAGAATGGAGCTGTCCCAGCTACTCAATGAGATCAGGGCAAACTATGAAAAGCTCCTCACCAGAAATCAGATAGAGACCGTGCTCTCAACAAGGATCCAGGTAATGATTTCATACAGACAGACACCCTCCAGGATAAGGAGACAATCCATGTCTATCCAATTCCTGTCCCGGCCTCTCTGAGGTACAGTATTTCCTTTTCAATGCAGCGTATACTGGGGAAGGAATTTAGGTTTTACTGCAATGTGACGGGGACTACAGGGGGAAATGCTGTGATTATACTGTTAAGCGACCATGAAATAAGTGTTGATTGATGCATTTAATTTTTATGTAAATTATGAGGTTATGGTCATTAATAAACCATGGGGTCAACATACAATAAAATGGTGCACTCGAACCTCTTTTGACATCCTCCAAGGAGGAAGCATTTCAAATACCCTTCAAAGATAATACAGAGTTACTTATAGAGATAATTTAAATGACATCTTAAAAATGGCAAGCTTTATAGTAAGATTTATTAGCTTGCACACTTTGTAGAGGAAAACTAACTAAAATATTTTTAATGAGTTCAGTTGTATTCCAGATCGTTATAAATAGAAATCATCTGGGCATAAGAACAGGGCATTCAGAACAATTCTGATATAAATCAGGACAATCAACCCCCCCCACCACCACCGATTGATAGACTCTCCACTTACATTGTAGATTTTTGCTTTTGTGCTATAAGATGAAAATGTTTATTTCCAATATTTAGGCATGCTATATTTAAGTTTTAAAGATAAGAGAGAACCAAGTTAAATAAGGGTTAAATCCTAGTTTTATAGACTTACTTTGTTTTAAAGTGACAATCACCTTCAGCAATTACTTAGGATCTCAAATCTTTAAACAATGGTACAAACTAATATTTTAGAAACAAAGGTTCAGAAATTCAGGGATTTTTTTTTTTTTTTTAGTTTACCTACCATATCTGAGTTCAAATCCTATTCTGAGCACCCAAATACTGCAAGGAGTTTACTTCAGAACATCACAAAAAGGGGGGAAAGTATTGCTGGGAAATCATGGGACTTTACTCCATTAGCAATTCATTTTTAGTAACATTATAAATTTTACCTCTGGAAAACATTGTCAGTCTTCATAGAGAATGATCAGTATCCTGGATTAAGCAGAGTCACTGGGATATTTAACTGTTGGAATAGTTCATCCACCTTTTACAAAGAAAGGGGGGATGGCCATTAATTTTTAATGATAATTTCTGAAAATTATAAACCTAATAAACACTTTTTTTGCATTTGTAAAAATACAAGTTATTTAGTTTACAAGTCACAATGCTGAAATGCATCCGCTAAAGCCAAAAAGCAAGACTACATACAGTACATTTTGTTTGGTCTTCTTAATTCAGAGTCAGCTGAAATAAATTCAAGAAAGCCTGTTTAATTATTACACAATAGGGAGCTATTTCAGTTACTTATTACTATATAACAACTACCCCAAAACTTAGAGTAAAGAAGTCATTGTATTCCCTCTCACGATTCGGTGGCTTGACTAGGTTCACTGGGGGTGACTTCAGCTGGACGTGACATTGGCTGGGACTGCAATCATCTTGGGGCACAACTGGGCTGGGTCATCCAAGGTGGCTCATTCATGGGCCTGGCACCTTGGGATTTTGAAAGGCTGGCTCAGCAGAGACAAATGTTTCTCTCTCTCCATGTAGCCTCGGGATCTGTCTCCATCTGGCCTCTCTATATGATCCCTCCAACAGAGCATGCAGACTTCTTACATGCTGGTCCAAAAGCATAGAAGCTCCCAAAAGCACAGAAGTGCAAGTTGTCAGGATTTCTTAAAGGCTTAGTCCTAAAACTGACACTTCTGCCACATTCTACGGGCTAAAGCAAGACATAGGTCAGCCCAGATTCAATGTGGAAGGCCACCACACAAAGACATCCATTTTGGGTCGGGTGGTTCATTGCAGGCCATCTTCAGAATCTAGCTACTATCCAAGCTTCGCTGCCCATTCCAAAATGCAAAAGACCAATGAATACCATAGTTTTCATGCACTCTTGTCTCCTAAATTCTCGACACTTTCTTTTGCAGTTGCTCTGATATGTGATGCTGCTTGCTTTTGCCAACAATGCTGAGAACAACAAATCAAAAGAAACATATAAATGTTATCTAATACTTTGCCCTAAACTTCATTATAGACTTTCATGTACCGCAGTGTTTCCTCCTTTAAAACATCTGTTGTATCATCATATTACATTTTTTAAATTTTAAAATGCATTTTTATAAAAACATAAAAAGGTTGTAACTTTTGTTTCAAAATATTACAACCAACTTCATACACTGCTCCTACTGCTCGTGGGGCCAAATGTTCAGAATTCTGTCAAAAGATACTTTCATTGAATTTCAACATCAGTATAAGAACATTTAAAGCTAACCATACAATAATCCATTTGTTATTTAATATGAGGACATTTAGAAAACAATTTTGAAGGAAGTCATTTTTTGCTTCTACCTCAGATAAACAACATTAGCATGCCTTCTAAAAAGATTATATTGAAAAAGATAAATCAATAGTGGGTTAGCTTAATACCGAAATCTATATTAGAGTTTCTAATGTCTATGATAACTTAATTCTCTAAATTATTCATAATACACTTTCCAGCAATATTTACTCCCTGTCTATGTACCCAGTCCAATAATTGATTAATATAGGGTATATAACAGTTTATCTGCTTTTATAAAGCAACCAACAAGAAAATACGGGGGGGGGGGGGGGAAATAGTAGCTAATTTCAATCCTTCTTCCTTATTAATGCCATAAATACTGGAAAGTTAAGAATCAGAGGTCTCCAACTCAGGTCCTGTAAACTGTTACTTTTTATTAAAATAGGTGTATTTTTTTCCTGCATTTCATAGACTGCCATAGTAGGAAGAGACTTTTGAGGTTCATTTTACATCTGAGAAAACTGACGCTGAGAGTGCAATGGACTTGCTCAGACATTTAAATGATTAGTAACGAAGCACTAAAACATACATTCGTAATCTAACAACTTAAAGAAAATAATGATTCGATTCCCATGCTATTTTTCTATCATTGCTCTTAAGTGCCTCACTTTCAAGAGTGCTCTTTGTTTCCTTGTTATTGTTGTTGTTGGCTCTCTTCTAGCTGGAAGAAGATCTGAGCAAAAAAATGGACAAAGATGAAGAGGCTTTAAGGGCAGCTCAAGCAGAACTCAAGGAAGCCCGGCGCCAGTGGCACCACCTGCAAGTGGAAATTGAATCTCTCCACGCTGTGGTGAGCCTGTCTCCAGAGCAACTGGCCCATGGAGTCCCCAGATGCTACATGATTAAGGGGGAGGGGGCGGGGGGAGGGGAAGAGAAGTATGTGAATCAGCTGTGAACCACTAAATTTAATCAATGTTAAAGTATTCTTACTATTTTTCTCCATCCTACTTTGGAAATATGCACAAATTCAACCAAAAGGACTAAGGTGAGAAAAGAAAAAATGTTTTTACAAAGCAGAAGCAGGGGAAGAGGAGGGGAGAGGGGGAGAGGGGGAGATATAACCCCATTACCTTAGAGTGAGAAACTCACTGTGAGCAAGAAATCAAGGCCACTGAATTCTACCCCAGGTCCTAGTTTAACTACCCCTTTCCCTCCTTCACTCAAGGTGTAGTTCGCCCCGATACAAATTAAGTGATCCTTGCTTATTGCCCTGTGGTTCTCTACTTGTTGGAGTGGGGGAATAGAGCTCTTGTCATTATCCAAAGTCACCACAGTAGAGAGTCCATACTTTTGAGGTGTCTAATAAGAAAATATTTAAACACTTTCCTAAAATGCTTTTTATATGCAGTCTGCTTTGGCTTTGTTATTTAATAGTCTATATTTTTAATACTTAAAAAAGAATGATACGCTAATCACACTGCAGAATTCTTATTCTTTCTTTAATTTTTTCTCTTTTATTGATTTCAGAGAGGGAGGGAGAGGGAGAGAGAGACAGAAACATCAATGATGAGAGAGAATCATTGATCGGCTGCCTCCTGCACACCCTCTACTGGGGATCATTCCCACAACTTAGGCATGTGCCCTTGACCAGAATTGAACCCAGGACCCTTCAGTCCACAGGCCGACGCTTAATCTACTAAGCCAAACCATTACCTCTCATCTAAGTAATGTAGTATTACAACCTTTTTAAAAAGAGAAAAAACACAATAGAATGAAGACATTGCAAATCAGAATTCAGAAACTCATTGTGTTTCGCTGACTCATTGATGAAGATCTATCTGAAACAGGAACGGGGCCTCGAAAACTCCCTGCAGGCCAGTGAGCAGCATTACCAGATGCAGCTGCAAGACCTGGAGGCTGTGATTGAAGGACTGGAAAAAGAGCTACAGGAAGTAAGGCAAGGCATCGAGAAGCAGCTCCAAGAGCATGAGATGCTTCTCAACACGAAGATGAGGCTAGAACAAGAAATAGCCACGTACCGCCGCCTCCTAGAAAAGGAAGAAATCAGGTACCTAATCCCATGTGGTTCATGACAAGCGGCCAGAAATGCAGAGCCACTTACGCCATTGTTGACATAATCAGTGAAATTGAATCTAAAGAAATCACCCCCATGGCAGGACCACTGAGTCTCTACAATTAAATAGGAGTAGTACGCACTGCCAAGAATATGAGAAGTATTTCCAGCCTCCACAAATCGCGGACAAAATAACCAATGTCCGGGACATAAGCTACAACAAGGAGCACAGCAAGACTAGAACAAAATGTAAATAATTACCAATCAATACAAAAATGACCTTTCTAAACTTTCTCACTCTCCTTGCCACACAAAACTTTTAGAATTAGTCATTGCCTTATACGTACCACCCACAAAGAAAGTTTGGAAAACTCTTACTACCACATCCCCACACACACTAAGGCCCACTCCCACCACACATCAAACACCAAAATATTACAACCATGGAAGGCAATGGTGTTTGGAGTATATGATTTAGAAGACTTCCAGATGTCCCAATAACAAAAGGTACCAAAGAGGAATTCTTATTGATTCACACAATTTCAGAATCTGCAATCACTTATAGGGTCATATGGCTTTGAACACAGCACAACCTCCAATTTTCCATGTTCCCATAAAAACAAAACTAGTCTTTTTTTTAACCCTTTGTACGCCCTAAGCATCAATGGCGTGTGAGGATGGTTTCCGTTTTGGATGTGTGGCAGTTAACTGGTTAAATATACTTTTTAAAATTTTCAAGTACAGTCAACATACAATATATTAGTTTCAGACATACAATCCAGTGATTAGACATGTATATAATTTTAAAAAATCACCTAATAAATCTAGTAACCATCTGACATCATGCATAGTAATTACAATAGTACTGACTATATTTCCTACACTGTACTTTACATCCCCATTACTATGCTAGAACTACCAATTTGTACTTCTTCATCCCATGCCTCCAACCCCCTCCCACAGGCCTCTATCAAAATGTTCTCTGAATCTATGATCTGTTTCTGGTCTGCTTGATCATTTGTTTTGCTTTTTAGATTCCACATATAAGAAATCATACGGCATTTGTCTTTGTCTGACTTACTTCACTCAGCACAACACCCTCTAGATCCATCCATGTTGCAGATAGCAAGATTTCATTCTTTTTTACTTTAATGGTTGAGTTATATTTCATTGTATATAAGTACCACTTCTTCTTTAAAAATAAACCTTTATTCTTGCTTGCTTCAGAATTCTGAGTCTTCTATAAAACTAGATGAAAATGCTTTAACCTATAATGTCTTGACACTTACTAAATCTTTGAAAACCGTAAATTAAATTCAAATATACCACTTACTAGCAGAGTGAAGCCAGGCAGGTTACTAAACCTCTCTGTGCATCAGTTTTCTCATCTCTAAAATGGGAACAATATTGCCTACCTCATAGCATTGCTGTGAAGATTAAACAAATTAATGTTTGTAAAGTGCTTAAAATAGTATTATGTAAATATACATACAATTTATTATTAAATAAAATTAAAGGTTGTGAAATTTATTTAACTCCTAATCCTTCAAAATATTGGTAACTTGGTCTTTAATATTCCTGTAATACAATTTTTATTATGCTGTATTTAATATATACAAGAAAGTATCAAGAAAGATGTAATGAACTCCCGTGTATGCACGTCCCCCAGCTCAGTGAGACATATACAATGTTGTTGAAGTCTGTTCCACTCCCCATCCCCCACACCTAAACCACATCCCCCCAATCTCACCCTCCTCCCTCAATCTAACCTGGCTCCCAAATTTGATGCTTATTATACGAATATGTATGTATCCCTAAACAAAATATGAAATTGTTTTGCATATTATTTTAACCTTTATAAACTTACTCTTTTTTTCACTCCATGTTATACTTGGGAGATTCATCCATAAGGATCCAGTACCCTGAGTTCATTTATTTTCACTGCTAAATAGTATTTCCGTTGTATGAATATACTACAGTTATCCATTCTCTGATTAGTGAGCATTTGTTTCCATTACCTGCTAATATTTTGTTGCTCCTACAATATAATTCTTTCTAATTTCAGATATTATGGTTGTATCCAAGGAGGAAAAAAAGAAAAAAAACCTACAAGTAGAGTTGGTTTTGTTTTACCTTCAGGTGAGTTTCTGATATTAGTAATTTAACTTGGAAAGCGAAGTGCCATTAGTAGGGATTATAAATAAATTGAGCACTCTAACGTAGCAAAAATAAGCAATATTTACATAAATTTTAACATGTGAATTGACTGTGATTAATACTTCAACATTGTAATTTAATATTTCATAAATAAAATTTTTTCACAGCCATTATAAATGAAATCTCTTTTTCAACAAAAGTCCCACAAAAGTGTGAGAATGAAAAAGTGGAAACAGTGACCAAACAGGCAATATTAAATGGAAATATGGTGAAGGAGAGCACTGAAGCTCATGGCACTATTCAGTAAGTAAAGTAATTCTGACTAAGAAATAAAATAAACGTGTAAAGAAATTAACTTCAATCGAATAATCTCAGTAATCTTTGTTTGAATGTTTCCAAACATAATTTTAATTTGCTGTGATTTTTAATCTGACATGAGTAAGTATATATAAACGAAAACTCAGATAAAAGAATGCTCACTCCTTAAAAAACCTACAAGTAGAGTTGGTTTTGTTTTACCTTCAGGTGAGTTTCTGATATTAGTCACTCTTCTATGACTGGTTATATCTACAAAGATTTTTCTAATTGAAAAAGAAAACAATTATACAACTTTTAAAGAGGACTCCCTATTCCCTTAGTCAAAAATGTTCCTTTTGAGACAATCATTTGCACACTTAGAAAAATAACAGTTACTTTCCATGAGCAGTTTTGAGCGAAGTATATTTTTTTAAAAAAATATAGCAACACATGAGAGTTCTATAGAATCCCTTGAAATTATAGTTATATGATTTTTTAAAGTATATAAATTTTAAATATCATGATGTACATTGTAAAACTTAAAATGCAAATTATAAATTATTCAAACTTCTTGATTTCTTTTTCATATGGAATATATATTACATATTTCTTAATACATCCGTACGTCTTCATATAGAAAGGTTTATTTTATCATTTCAGGACCGAGAAAGTGGATGAAGTTATTAAAGAATGGGAAGGTTCCTTCTTTAAAGATAACCCTCGGTTAAGGAAAAAATCTGTTTCTCTTCGCTTTGACCTTCATTTAGCAGCCACTGATGAAGGGTGTTTACAGACTAAACAGGATAATCTACCAGATATAGAAGTCAGGCTTATCATGAGGAGATCATGCAGTATTCCCTCTATCAAACCTCCATCAGCAGCTCATTAACCCAAAGACAGTATTTGACTTGACTTGAAAATGACATTAGGATGGACCAAGGTGGGCGATGCTGACTACCTTCTGTCCCAAATGTAAGTTGAAGTATGAATGTTATGATTGATGTGTGATTCTCTTCGTGGGCGGGGGGGATGGCAAGGGGCAAAATTTCTCTGCATTTAACTATGGATATATTTTTTGGAAAGGGAAGTGCAAATAAAATCAGAAAATCAGTATGATTTCTATTTTATTTATCCTCCAAATAATCGTTTTTGTTCCCTTGAAATTTTATCAGAGATGGTAAGCATTAGCAGCTTAGTAAAATCTGTGACTTGATGCCTGAATACTCTAAGGAAAAGGGAATGGTTTATCTAAATATGATTGTACTATGTTAAGAATCACACTGAGCAATTCATCACTCTTCTATGACTGGTTATATCTACAAAGATTTTTCTAATTGAAAAAGAAAACAATTATACAACTTTTAAAGAGGACTCCCTATTCCCTTAACCAAAAATGTTCCTTTTGAGACAATCATTTGCATTGTATTACAGGAATATTAAAGACCAAGTTGCCAATATTTTGAAGGATTAGGAATTAAATAAGTATAAAACATAGCCCAGTTCTAATTTGATTAAATAAAATTAACCTTCATCTGAAAGTGTTTTGTAGTCATGTGATTTCCAGAAGAGTTACTTTATTCAAAGAACTTTAAAAATTGTCCTTTATCAACAACAACAAAAAAAGAGGCCAGTTGCACAAAATATGAAAAGCTGATTACTACAGTTTCTAGAACAGTTATCCAACCTCTCCCTATCCCAGTTTTTCCATCTGTAAAGTTAAATGTGATTAATTGGAGTATTTGGTGTGAGCATTAGGTAAAATATTATATAAAGTCTTATAAGTATTTCCTGCAATCATTTATGTGAATTAAGACAATAGTATTGTTATCGAAGCTATGAGTATTTGCAGGATTTATGTTTTTAAATTGTTCCAAGTGTAATAAATATGGATAGAAAATATATTTATGAGTAAGTAGTGTTGCAGAGGTTTTTAAACAACCTAATTTGTTTAATACAGGTATATTTCTTTTAAGACCTTAAATAAAAAAAACATCTGTTTTAAACATTAAAAATTTATAGGCTATTAATTTTTTCTAAACAGAAAATATGTTGAGTATCACTCACCATACTGTTATCCCAACTAAAGAATTATCCAAGGGCTATAGCTGTTAGCATTTTAGTACAGCCTTTTCAACTGAAACCTCTCTCTCTCTCTGTCTCTCCCTCTCTGTGTATGTCTCTCTCTTCCTCTCTCTCCTTTATTTCAACAACAACAAAAAGATATATTTTAACCAGAAGAAAATTATGTTAATCTTTAACATAATACAGGGATATAGTTAAATTTTTCTTTCAATTACTTCAGATTTCTTTAAGCCTTGCTTATTCTATTTAGTGAAAGGAATAATTTTGTTGTCAAGGTTACAACAGCATGTTAAGTGCTTATTCTTGCATAAGCATCTAACCTAAAATACATCCTATATGTAAAAGTGTTTAATTCAATATCAGTTAAAAGCTACTAACTTCATAAAGCTTTGAAAACGCAGTCATATAAGCTATTGTACTAAAGTTACTGTACTAAGCAACAGTAATCGTAATGGAATATATCTAGTGTAATTGATATGCAATGTAAAAACTTAATAGTGGGCATCATAAATGTAACTGCTTATAATAGTAATTCCACTATGCAGCTATTGTGTGTAACGTATATTTCAAAGTAGAGTATTTGAATTTATAACAAAGTTTTATTTGCTTTGGGGCATTTTAAATTGGGATATGAATTTACCAAAGTAAATGATACCACTATAATAAAAATTATAAAACTTAAACATGAACTCCAAATCTGCATTGTGTTTGAGTTTGAGACAGTGTGTTGAGTTTAATTGTTCTAATATGGTTAGTTCACTTGGGGAATGACGAACTGTAACCATGGCGGAGAAAGAATTTCTTATATAGTTTTTTAAAATATATTTATATTTTTTATTGATTTCCGAGAGGAAGAGAGAGAGAGAGAGAGAGAGAGAGATAACAACATCAATGATGAGAGAGAATCATTGATCAGCTGCCCCCTGCACGCCCCACACTGGGGATTTGAGCCTGCAATCCGGGCATGAACCCTGACCAGGAATCTAACTGTGACCTCCTGGTTCATATGTCAACACTAAACCACTGAGCTATGCCAGCCAGGCTATAGTTTTTTAACAAAAGGAAAAGTAAGAATGGTATATTCTAATAAAAAAAATCAAAATAATCTCATAATCCCACAAGTATAACAGTTAGCCAGAATTTACAAAATGCTTACTCTGCTCCTCACACTGCACTCAGCGTGCTTGTACATAATCACTAATCCTTACAATGATCCTACAAGATGTATAATGTTATCCTCATTTTGTAGATAAAAGAAATTAATATTCTTCCATTATTTGGGCATAATTAAAATGTATGCTTCTAGAACAAAATACAAAAAATACAGAGTAATTCCAATTACTAACAATTGTAGCATTCCTGCCCTGGCACTGTCAGTCACTAATTATCCATGTAACCAGGAAGGAATTACTTACATTTCCCAGCCTCAATTTTCACACTTGAAAACAAAGGGAAAGGTGTTACTTGGGAACAATGCCCACCTCACAGTTGCTTGAAATAACATATATGTGAAAATATTTGACAAAGCCCTACTCAAATATTTGGATGAACTTGTCATTGGGAGAGAATTTCTGAGAACAATTATTGGTGACAATGATATATATATGAGCCTAATATGCAAATTATCCCTGTGGGAGTTTGACCGGAAGACCGACTGCTCGCAATGATGTGCGCTGACTACCAGGGGGCGGCACAGAACGAAGGGAGGCCCCAGCCGGCAGCCGGAAAGCCCCGATTGGCCCTGATCGCCAGCCAGGCCTAGGAACCCTACCCATGCATGAATTTCGTGCACTGAGCCTCTAATTAAGTAATAATTTAAAACACAACAGGTAATGAGAATTTTTTAAATTCTTTGTTTGCTTCCAGGAGAGTTACTTTTTCCCAATGAGTTACTCAATTTGGACTGCTCACCCGAGAATATTTTTCCATTGGTTTTTAGAGAGAGGAAAGGAGGGGGAGAGAGAGAGACGCTTTATCCACTAAGCCAAATCGACCAGGGCTCTACCATAATAGTTTTTAAAGTATAAAAATGTTCCCCAGAGTCAAAAATGCATAAATTATTTGAAAGTGTCAAATGGAATCATTATGGTACATGAGCCAAAATTACACTGTAATTAAATAATATGCATAGCCCTCGCTGGTGTGGCTCAGTCGGTTGGGTGTCATCCAGTACACGGAAAGGTTGCCTGTTCATTTCCGGTCAGGGCACATCCTGGGGCTGCGAGCTGATCCCCATTGTGGGGGGTGAAGGAGGCTACCTCTCCATATTACACTCTCACATTGGATGTTTTTCTCTCCCTCTCCCTTCCTAAAAATCAATAAAAAATATTTTTAAAAAAACAAATATCAATAAATAATATGCAGACACGTTACTCAAATTATCAACATTAAAAAAAAGTTTGTGCCAAAAGCAGAATTTAGTTCTGTGTTTACCAGGTATGGCCAGCATGTACACAGATTGCCAGTACTCATGGACATGTTACAAATAAACATTTTGAAAGAAGGTACATGTGCAAATCACTACAAGCCTTTTCCAGTTTCCCTCACACACTTAGACCCTAGACCACCGTCAGCGAACTTGGGGCCGAACCTCAACACACATTTCCTGAGCATCTAACCATGGGCCACGCCTTGGCAGACACTGGCAACGTGCAGGTGACCGGTGAGATGACTGGGCTTTGTTTGCAAGCCCCTCGCCCTGCATTAAAGGTGACAAACGCGCTCGGGTGCCTTGGGTCAGGTACAGACTACAACCAAGATGTCAAAGAGCCACGGCGTTGAGAGGAAGGATTATTGGGGGTTGGAGGGGGGGGGGGCAGGAGGGCATCAGAAAGAGACGTGTGAGCCGGATCCGAAAGGACAGATGCGTTTAACCTGAAAGCGCGGGGCAGGCATTCCCGTCGATGGGAGCCCAACGAGCCCGGACCCCGTTGGGCCGAGACCAGTGGCACCTCCACTCCGCAAGGGCGCCCCACCGAGGCCAGGGCATCCACATGGCTGGGCCTCGGCTCGGAAGCCGGTGGCAACGGCACCAGATTCGACCTCGGAAAAACGGGAAAAGCCCGTGTCGCGAAGGCAGGAAGCCCGCCCGAGAGGCGCCCGTGGGGACGGACACGCCGCGCCTCCATCCTCGGTGAAAGGAGAAAAGCACCCGGCGG